CTGGGAGTTGAAGTCCACAAGTCTTCAAGTTGCCAAGATTGGAGACCTCTGGTTTGGCTTACTGCTCAGTTTTAATAATGTAGGCCAGTGGTACCAAATTAAGTAACATTAATTAATAGAAATGAACAATTTATAACATATATTTATTTCTGGTTATTAATGCAACTAGAACTTGAGAATTTCTGTGAATGTTATGCAATACTTCAGAGAGGCATTTGATTGGTCGATGAAAAGCCAATAAGGTGTATAAGGTGTGTAAGGTGGGAAGAATCCATATGAATATAGAATTGCTTCCACGGTCTCTTATTTTTTAAATGCTCCACCCTGAGGTTCCCCCGCTTCCATTGTGGCGACTTCTGGGCTGTGGAATTGCTAGTCACCCGACTGACTCCACCCTGTGTTGCTGCAGGAGGCCGAACCCCGCATGTGGACGTACGTTTACCCCGCTAAATACCCTGACATCAAAATGGAAGATGAGCGGTGGAAGGAAGAGAGGGAGCGAAAGCTAAAAGAGGAAAGGAGCCGCGGCAAAGAATCCATCGTGAAGGATGATGGGAAAGAGAGCATCAACTCTGACTGCAAAATGCCTTCCAGCGAGGACTCGCGCTTAATGGGGAAAGAAGCCCGATCTGGCGCCCACGTGCCCGTGTCCTCCCCGCTCACCCAGCACCAATCCTACATCCCCTACATGCACGGCTACTCCTACAGTCAGTCCTACGACCCCAGCCATCCCAGTTACCGTGGCATGCCAACCGTCATGATGCAGAACTATCCAGGTAGGGGGAACTGAAAGGGAACCCTGTGATTATTACAGGTACGGGGGAATAAAACGGGGGGAATTGAGCTCAGGTAGACTGATACGGTCAGATGTCTCACAACATCAAGATGTTGCCAGGCTCCAAAAAACCAAGAAAGACCCATCGGGATTATTCCAAGTAGATTTCTTTAGGGTTCCTCACCCACAGGCGGAATCTTGTCAATCTAAAGCAGGCTTCTATCGCCGTAAAGCAGGGGTGTCCAACCTTGGCAACTTTAAGCCTGGAGGACTTCAACTCCCAGAAGGCAATTTTCCTTTTTATGCCACCTCAATTTTTCCATTGCAGGGACCCCCAGTGAAACACAGGGAGAGATTTCACACACATACACCCCATGTTCCTTCGTTTTACAAAAATAAACAAGGGGCCCGTTGCCATTTTGGGAGGGCTGTTTTCCCCTGAAAAGAAGCCAAAAATTCAAGCCTCCAAAATCGGGCAGAGTTTCCCAAGCAAGCCAGACACTGGATTCCCACGTTGCCCTGAGCTGCGGTTAGTTAACCAGGTTTAGGGGCTCAGCAACAATTTGCTCGCCTTGCTTAACGTACCAAACCGGCAACAGATCATGCTGTAGCTTCTGAGCAAGTTGACTGGGGAATTCTGGGAGTTGAAGTCCTCCAGGCTTAAAGTTGCCAAGGTTGGACACCCCTGCCGTAAAGCATATATTCTGGGAATTATGAGGGAGGAGCCATCTTCACCCGCTTTCCCTCACACAAACAATCTGAACTGGGATGCCTCTTTCTCCTCTGAAATGCCTTTCCTGGGAATTCAGACCCCGTTCCTTCGGTTGCAGAGAATTTACCTATACCTTGCTAATGTGGCGGCGTTCCTTAAACTATTTCCCCCCCCTCAGATCCCCTCCACCTTTTAAAAAATTATGGAGGACCCCAAAAGAGCTTTTGGGTATATGAGTTATATTAACCCGCGTGCCCTAAGCATTCGAAGTGGTTAATTTTTGTCTTAGCGACTAATCTAGGAATATAAAACCAGAAGAAGATTGGGTGGAATGACATCTCCTCAAACTTCTCAACCTTGAGTTGGTCCCTTTCCTTTCCTCATCTTTTCCCTGCAGATGCATGACGTCCGTCGGTTTCTTTGGGTGGGTGGCTCTCCTGACAAACGCAGGGTAGAAATGCTGACTGGTGTCTCTCCCGCAGGTTCTTACCTTCCTTCCAGCTACTCATTCTCCCCGTACGGCAGCAAATCCTCGGGAAGCGAGGAGAGCGAAAAATCCCGAGCTAGTCCTATTATTGGCTGTAAATCCAGCTCTGAATCCAAGGCCCTGGACATCCTGCAGCAACACGCCAGCCACTACAAGAGCAAATCCCCGACGGTGAGTGCTAGTTGTGGCGCGGCATTAACTAGTTCTCAACACTGGGCCTTTTGGTTGAACCTGGCTCAGAACCTGGAGCTCTTCTCTCGTGGAGGCTACCATGGTTGGAGGAGAACCTGGGGCTCTTCTCTCATGGATCTTACCATGGTTGGAGGAGAACCTGTGGCTCTTCTCTCATGGATCCTACCATGGTTGGAGGACAACCTGTGGCTCTTCTCTCATGGATCCTACCATAGTTGGAGGAGAACTTACGACTCTTCCCTCATGGATCCTACCGTGATTGGAGCAGATGATGAAGCGCTTATCCTGCCTGGTGGCTGGAGTTTGCAGGGACTGGAGAAATCCAAGCAACGTTGTGCGTTGTGACGTTGCCCTGCAACAAAATCTGCTCGGGATGGCCTGCCATTCCTTACAGATTCACACTCCGGGCTTCAAACCCGTCTGTTCTTCTGCTTACCGTGCAGATAAGCGAGAAGGCCTCTCAGGAGCGCAGCGGCTGCGGGATAGGAGGAAGCAGCGCAGGCTGCAGCAGCCTAGGGGGAGCCAGTGGCGCTGAGAGAAGCGTTGACCGGCCTCGCTCCTCCCCTTCACAGCGTCTGATGTCTACGCATCACCACCATCACCACTTGGGCTACTCGTTGCTCCCAGCCCAGTATAACTTGCCCTATGCAACAGGTGAGTGCTTGGGTAGAGGGGGGTGGTTTGGGAGGGGGGGGGTGTCTGTCAGGATTCCAAATTCAGTATTTGTTTTTATTGATCGATTCAATTTATCCCCCATTTGCAATTTTAACCGTCTTTGGGAATGTCTTTGCTGTTCCTCTACAGGTCTTTCATCTACAGCCATTGTTGCCAGTCAGCAAGGTTCTGCTCCTTCCCTCTATCCCCCGCCCCGAAGGTGAAAATGGTAAGGACACTCCGACACACCTGCCTTGGTGGCTGTGGAGAGGAACAAAGGGGGGGGGCGGGGTGTGTGTGGTTTCATTGCTGGCTTCACCCCGTTCAGATTCTAGGAAGAACTTCGATTATAAAACCAAACAAACCGGAGGGGATTGGCAATATATAAACTGGCTTCAGCACCCTCCTTTTCTTGTAGTGAAGTCTTGAGCGAAGAATCCAGTTGCGGCCCAGGTGACAGCTACGGAATTACCTTCATTCCCACATTATGATATGCCAGTTGTCTGTACCAGCCCTTCTGGCCACCGCTTTCCTATTGTCTGTGGAGATTCTCAGGTCCTAGTTGTTCCAGAGGTGTTTTTCCAAAAGGCAACCGGTCTTTTTGTTGTTTTCTTGAAAATGTTTTGCTTGTCATCCAAGAACCTGACCAGAACCTGAAGGAAGTTCTTGGATGAGAAGCAAAACGTTTTCAAGGAGAAAAAAAATAAAATAAAGTCAAATTGCCCTTTGGGAAAGCGCTTTTGGGACTGCTTTCCTATTGTTCAGTTTTGATAAAAATTAAAAATTGGGTAAGGGGCTGTTAAGCCCAGACAGAGAACTGCCCACTTCCTAGTTCTATCTAAGCCCACCTGCTGGGAAGGCCGGATCTCCAAGTCCACCTTCTGAGCTACTGTTATTCTGGCTCCATCTTGTGGCTGAGATGGAATTTGCTGACCCCCCCCCCCCCTTTCTTCTCTTTGCAACAGGACATGACTGATAAGGTAACCCCGGCTGTACCAAGACATGTGACTGGCTCACGTGAGGAAGCGCTGCAAACTGCATTAAGACATCAGTTCAATGGTGTTGATTGTTCTGCTTGACGGTCCTGCCAGAGTGTGATGCAGACTCTGCCCCTCCCCTGTTGAACACACCACACGCACACACAGAGAGAGAGAGAGAGAGACACAGATGCTGAGCCCCGTCTGAGTGAGTTATGGAGCTGGGACTTGCCGAAATATTTATTCAACTGACTTGGGGGTGACTGGCCGTTTTCCAGAATCCTTCTGGGAAAGAGGACGGGGACGGCGGGCCGAGCAGTGTGACATCAACAGGACCTTCTGGAAGTACGCTGGGGAGGAAGAGCAGCTGAGTTTTGAGTTCCAACTCACACCTCCCTCTTGTTCCTGGGCTGCGGCCGAGAAAGCTATTCCAGAGTTGGCCGAAGAGAACGTCCAGGTGGTGGGTTTGGGGGTTCTTCTTTTTTTTGAGAACTAGTCACCTGGCACAAGCAGGTAGGTGGACTCTCGCAAAGAGCCCCAGAAAGACGAGGCTCTCGTGCCTCACGCCAGCCTGGGGAGGACGCAGGGAGGGCCACCAGGCCTGCCACGAGCCCGAGTCAGCCGTACGTTTCTCGGTCAAGGAACGGTTCCCGGACTTCTCTGTCCTGAAACTTCTCTGTAGCACTTTGCCTTGGGGCCGGCTGCTCTCCCGAAAAAAGGCCGTCCCGCCCGCTGCTTTTTTTTCCCTAGCCCCTCCTCCCTGCTGGCGTGCGGCAAGGCAGCCGCTGCTGTGCTCCCTGGCACAAACAGCCTCTCCGTACGGCTACAATATGGCCTTTTGGGCAGGCTGGTCCTGCTTCTGTCGGGCCGGGGGGGGGGCAGCTCCTCTCGGCTCGAAGGGCGCCTGTCGCTCCTGTCTTCCCCGGCCCTTTGGCACAGAGGAAAGAAGCCCCCCCCCGGCTGCCGTGGTGTAATCCTCTGGGCAGGGCCTTCCCCACCACCACCACCACCACGCCTGGGAAAATCCTCCCTTCTCGGCAAGGGATGAAGCAGGGCATGGGGGCTGGCTGGGCCCTGCAGAAAGAACCAAGCCTCAACCTTGTGGAGCATCGAAGCGACCGGCCAGCCTTCCTGCAAACCCTGGTGGCGGGGCGAGCAGGCAAGAACGGCCCCTTGCATTGCCGGGGCCTCGCTCCCTGCCCTTCGCCAGTGCCCTTGAGGGACCCGTCTGACTGGAGCTGCCTCCCCCTACCCCCCCTACCCGTTTCCTGCGGGAGGCCTGTCAGGTGGAAAAGGGCAAGGGGCCCACTTGTGCCCTCCCAAGCGGACTCTCCAGGAACCGGCGCTGTACGTCTGTGCAAGCGCCCAGCTCGTTTTCTGTTCCCGCCTGTAATGTTGCGCGAGGCCACCCTCTCTCTGCCTCTTGGACTTTGTATATACTGTAAAAAGGAATTGTTTGAAATTTGTCGGGCTTTTTTATTTTTCCCCTTCTTCCCCTCCCCCTTTCCCAAGCTCGAGGTTCTCGCGTAGCTTCGTCAAGAGTCCCTGGAGGAGGATGGGGGGGGGGGCAGGGGGAAGAGGAGGGGGCTTATCCCCCCCCCCACCCCCGGCCCTAAGTCTCGTTTGAGGGTGATTCCCACTGTCTTAAAAGCACATGGCGAAGCGGTGCCGCTGCGTCCTCTCTCTCTCTCTCTGCCTTCCTGGCACTGGCTTGCCCTTCGTGCAGGGAGGAAGGCTTCCGAGAGTTGCCTTAGAACCACGGCCTGGGAACTCTCTCACACACACCCCGGGGGGGTCGAGAGGACGGCCTCGGAGGAGGCACGCACATCAGGAGGTTACCAGCCTTTTCTTACCAGCATAGTCCCATGAGAACATTCGGTAGCAGACTTGAGCGCTCACCATCTTGACACAGTTTTGTGGATTTGTGACTCAGGTAGGCACAAAAAAAATACAGCCGCCAAAATACGAGCCGTGCAAACTCCTGACGAGAGGTGCGTCGCCGTCGTCAGTGAGTAAACCTCAGGGTTGCCTACTTGGGGGGGGGGGGGGGGCCTTTACAGAAGCACCGTGTTGTAGCAAGTTCTTGTAAAAACGGGATACTCGCGTTCTCTTCCGGGCCTGACTTTGATGCCCCTGACCTTACTAGGTAAGGTATTCGTATAAGAAATGCCCTACCTCAGCTGCCGGATCCTTGCCCTGTTGGGTGCATGCAAAGCTTTGGCCTTTTGTTTGTTATTGGTGTTTAGTGTATTGCTGTTGTTGGTTTTTTTTAAAAAGAATACAGATAGTCATATTTGTGTAAAAAAAAAAAATTATTTAACTGATATTAGTGCACCTCCCAACTTGTGTTAAGGGCTAGAAATACATTTTCAGGTTCCAGGCTGCTTCTGCAATTGTGCAGGTTTTACCTGGAGGTTGAACATTTTGTGCAGCTGGATCTATCTAGTAAAGCAGGCAGCTCTTGGCAGTCCACGGTTCACTAGAGAGTCCGCTTCCCTTTTGCGGAACTTCCTGAGTGGAGAATTAAAAACCAAAGATAATAGTCCAGAGGAAACTGTAAGCCAATGTTTAAAAAAAAAAACAGGAGTGGAAATGTTTCACACTACTCTCTCAAATATTGGTATTCCACAGAGCAAATTGATGTAATGTTTGGCCCTTTCCAATCTGGTAGTCCACAGATAAATAGAACTGCAAGTTTGGGTAACAACTCCGTCTGAGGATGTGCCTGAGGACTGAATAAGCAGCCATGATTATTTTTCCCCCTTTAATGTCAGAAATTCAGTTGTCGTATGGCTTTTAACATCGGTCGTAAGCAAAGGGCAAAAAAGTGTTATCTATGTATCCAAACCCTCCCAAAAAGGCTTTTGAACCAAAGCACCATAGGATATTTTATGGACTCCTCTAGTATAAACTGCAAGGAAGTCGTAACAAGCTGAGAATATTCATGAGCAAACAACTCTTTTCTGCAAACTGGGTGTCATTATGCCTAAAGTTCAACTAAACAAGCTTTTTTTTTTCTACGCTCTAGATGAGATAAATATCTGTAGCAACAAATGAGGGGAAGAAAATTTGGTAGCACTAGTGAATATTTTTATTCTCTGCCAAATATGTACCTTCCTAAATAGAACAAGCTTACTTGTAAATGTAACAATGGGGAGAAGCAGTTGAATTTTTCCCTTTTCCTCAAAAATTGCATTTTGAATAGCCCTTGATCAAAGACTCTGAATTTTATTGGACTGCTATTTCCTGGGTTCCGTAGAAATGTCCTTAAATGTAGTTTTGCCCCTCTAAAGATTAATTAGAGTGGGATGAAAGGAACAGCTTGCTGAAAAGCAGTTCTTGTAACACATTGAAGTAAAAGAAAATGGGGACGTTATAAAGCTTGGATTTAAAAAGCCACAATTCTTTTATATAGGCTAGAAATCTAGAAAAAACAGCGAGCCCAAGTATTTTAATGATTAAGGGGCCAGTGTAATTTAGGATCCAGCTGGCTTAGGCTTGTTTCCACAAAGGGTAGTAATATTGTTGGTTTCAAGTGTCACTCAACTGAAGAAGACAAACCACAGCCAGGAAAGCAAGCAGAACAAAGGAGGTTTCGTTTTAGGTGTCCTAATTTGCAAGGGCAATATATTCAAGAATTGCCGGAAGACATAGAAGTAGCCTTGCCACTCAACTTTATAAAAAGTGTGGTGAATGTAGAAGCCAAGTTTACCAGGTCTGTCCAACTGGCGCATAGTTCTTGGCTCAGTGAGTTGTTGACGCTCTCCTGTCACAAGGTGATTTCCATTAACTGGACAGTGCAGATTAAATTGCTTATCAAACAGCCAGGTAACTCTAAATGACAAACCTATTGAGTATCTTCCTTTCCATTGCCTACCTATCCTATTATCTATTTTTCCTTCCATTATCAATAGGTTACTCCAATAAATGTTCAGGTTATGGATAATATTAAAACCTGTAGTTGTGAGATCTGGCATTTTAGGAGCAAAAAATTGTGAGAGGGTGTAAATAGTTTTTTTTCATCCCCATGATAAGTCAGTCTTATGTTGTTCCCCACCCCAATACAGAAACCAGCCAAAGATCTGATGATATGAGATACTCCCTTCCAACCAGCAGGCCCTGAAGGCTGGAAAATAACTTAGGCTGCCCTAAAATGCAGTGAGGCAAATGAAGACACAGACCATAACTGGATACTAAGAAGAATTTCCTCCAAAGAGCCAGCTTATCATGCACCCCTAGGATCTTGGTTTTTTTAAGGGTTTCCCTTCTGTTATAGCCAGATGGCTCCCATTTTACACAAGACAGATGCCTGAGAAGCAAAAAGTGCTTTGGGTAACACAAGTAAATAGACAAGAGGAGCTTTTAGAATTGTATATTGTGAATGAAGTTTGAAGGAACTGGCTGTTTTAAAAGAAAGGTAAGCATGATAGCACTCATCTAATAATTCCCAGGGGGGCATTTGAAGGAAGGATGAGGACATGAGATCTCAATTACATGAGCTACTTTTAAGGAAAGTTTCAGACGCATTGTGAGGACGCATAAGATTGAAGTCTAATTAAGTGTCAAATCAAGTTGCCTACCATGTTTCTGGAATCCAGGTGTTTCCGGAATCCACAGACTTCCGTGTGGGGCCAGACAGTCTTCCCCCCACCTTCAAAAAAGGGGGGGAGCTTGATTTGACTTGATTCTCCATTTCCCCACCTGATCCCAGGGCAGAACACAAGGCTGCCCCCAATCCTTTTGAAAGGGATGGCGCTTCAGAAGCGAGGCCAACTCCGCACCCTCCTTTCATTCTCTCTTCCTCCTAAATGAAGCTGCAGTAGAGTTAATACTAAGCTAATAAAGCCGACAAGAGGGCAAGAGTCTCTCAGAACCCCAGAGTATTGGTTAACCCAGTGGTGCCATCATCTATTTGCCAAAAAAGGAAAAAAGGAAGCAGGAAAGCAACTGTTCCTCGTATTTCCACACTCAAAACATCCCCCTGCTTAAGAGTCTGAGTGAACATATAAATATGCCTTTGAAATGAAAGCCAAATATCCAAACTAATAGATAAGCCCAGCCATGTATGTAACAAGTAATTTTGAGGCTTCTCCCTCTCTGCCTTCGTCTGCGGGCTCTGTAGCCACCACGTGGCTGGGCAGGATGTGACTTTGCTATAGGCTTAAGAGCAGGCCCCAGAGCCTTCCATTCACCTTCCATTTACTATTGTGCAATTACATGTGCAGGTTTTATATTATTCGCTAGGTAACACATTTCAATGGAAAAGTCAACTCAGAAGATATACAGGTCACTCTAACAATAAGAAATGCAGTTTCAGTCCAGAAGAATTTTGTTTTCCCTTTCCTCAGCAGGGGCCTTTTAGCCCCCACCGCTCGTCCTCGAAGCATGTCCAGGCCCCACTGAAATGCTGCGCTAGGTCTAATCGTTGTCATCAGAAGAAGAGACCTGATCCAGGGGGTAGACCATGAACAACACATCTGGCCGCGATGGGACACAAGGATGACCAGGCCTCACAATTTCAAAACCCAGAAAACTGAATGTCTTCAGTAACGGAGCTGCAAAAAGAAAAACAGAAGGAAACGTACAAGGTCAGATCAATGAAGAGCCAACGCTCTGGATCTCTGTTGACATGGGGCACGACTCAACTGTCCCGTTCTGTTGGGGTTTCCCAAACCAGCCCTAAGCCTTCGTGTAACTTTTGTGTCGTGGCCCGTCCTAATTTTTCTGTCCCGTGTTGCAAGACAATTGGCTACTGGCCCTAGAACACAGGTAGTCCTCTACTTACGACCACAACTGAACCCAACATTTCTGCTGCTAAGCAAGAATTTATGTGGGGTTTGACCCATTTTACGACATTTCTTGCTCACGGTGGCTAAGTGAATCAGTGCAGTTAAGTTCGCAACCCCGCTGTTAAGTGGATCTAGCTTCCCCGTTGACGTTGCTTGCAAAAGGCGATCACGTGACCCCCCAGGATACAGCAACGGTCATAAATATGAATCAGCTGCCAAGCGCCTGAATTTTGATCACGTGACTATGGGAGGATGCTACAACGGTCGTGTGTGTGTGTGAAAAACGGTTGTAAGTCACTTTTTTTCAAACAGCCACTAAATGAACTTGTAAGTCAACTCCCTATATGCTGTCCAAAGTCAATCAATTCATCCAAGTCACCTTGTGAACAAAGGTGAGTTTTCTCTGCTCGTGATGAGGGCTGCAAGTGGCCCAAACCACGCGCGGCTCATCAAGGGAGACGTCGTTCGACAGACATTCCAACCCAGAAACCTGACTCTTCACAGAAATTTAGGGAGAGAGAAACTTATGCTGGCAATTTGAGTCTCTATTGGTAGCAATTATACCCTGAATCGTTCATACTCAACTAACTGGAAGGAGAAAATCCACCAAGTGCTCTGAATGACACCCACTTTAGCTGCTGACGTTTGCCTGAAAGGAGGAGGGGGGTGGTGGTGAGGACACGTACCTCTGTCTTCTCTGCTTTTTCGAAAGCAAATAAAGACATAACTTGCTTTCATTTTCTCTTCAGCAAATTCTAACAGCGCTAATAACCTGGCAGGTGGGGAGAAAAGAGAAGGTTACACTCAGCTAAGCTTCTAAATAATTCCATCCTGTTCATCTCAAGATGGCACGCCCCTACCATCGTTCCCACCAGTGTCAGCACTGATACTTGGGGCAAGGAGGAGCGTGCTGAGGAAAATAGGCTGCTGAAGGGAAAGTCCGTCAAGATACTAACCACACATGCTTGCTGAGTGGTTATTTGCACAGCAGGGGAGCACAGCTGCGTAGAACAAGGAGGAACTGGGGACATTTACAGAATAACAATAGCAGAGTTGGAAGAAACCTTAGTGGTCTTCTAGTCCAACCCTCTGCTCAGCCGGGAAATTTCAAGTACTGAGGTCTGGATTTAAAGTTTGGAAAAACTGGCAAATTGCATTTGAACACCGGGAGACTGTTCCTATGGAAGGGGTGTGTGCAGGGAGAGAGAGGCAAGGGTGGTGTTGTGCTACTTCAGAACAAGCTACGTCCAACTCAAAGGCAGCGGGCTAGGAGATGTATAATCCGTCACCTTGGAGGTATAAATGTACCTAAACGCCTACATAACTATCCCTTTTGCAGCTAGCGTTAAAACGAATATTAAGCTACAACAATCCTCTGTGCGGCCTGTGTTAGGGAATAGTGTCACCTGCAGATGGTTTTCAAGTTACCCCTTTAATAGCCTTATAGAAATTTCCTGGCACAGAACCAACGCTTTGGTCCAAGGGTATTGTTGCTAACTGATCGAGCAAGTAGAGATCAATAAGGTTTTAATCGGAGGCGGGAAAGCAGCAGAGATTTTAACTTAGAAGGGATTTTTGTTAGCATCCACTTTAATTATAACTTCCAAGCTGCTTATTTTAGCTGGCTATAATTAATCAGTTATGCAATTGTACTTAAAGCACGCTAACAGGGGAGACGCCGCGATCAAAGAATTATGGCAAAAGGAAAGAATAAACCAGCGGAAGCATTTTTATAACTGAAAGGCTCAAGCCCGCTTAATCCCAAGGGAAAATGAAACGGCGTGAGCTGCTTTGGACAGCTAATCAATATGCGTAGGCAGGACTAATGCTTCCCATCTTCAAAATACCAGGAGCTTAAAGGAGCGACAAATCTGTGCACAGCACTGGTAGAAGTCAGGAGGGGGCAACCGGTGCCTGCAGGCGACTACGTTCCTTGGGGCGTAATCGGTGGGAGGAGTCATGCACACGCCTTACCCTTCTTTGCTCCCGTCAGCTAATAAGCCATCAGGGATTTCCACAAAAAGACTCTGATTGGATAGCACTGCATCCCAAGAGGAGACCTTTACTTCCGTAACTTTGTACTGGAAGTGGACAATATGTGGTTTCCCATCATGCACTGGAAGATCTTGGTTAACAGTGAGCTTCTCATCCTTTAAGAAAGGGTGAAAAAAAACAATTTTTCAAGGGTTAGAACAAGCGAAGAGCAGTAAGTTCCCCGATTCCTCATTGCTGTGGGAACCAACCCCAACCCCTGGTCCTGCTTTTGAAAGGGCAGTTATAAAGCTTCAGCTCACTGTACTTGATGACCAAACCAAGTACATTTAATAAATCAAAAGTCTTTTATCTCCTGGGCAATCTCCAAGAGGTACCTCCAATTCATTCAAAGAAATGAACAAACTTCACACATCAACAATGCTTACGCCAGCAGAAATGATCTTAGAAACAACTAGCCTTGGCAGCCACAGAATTGTGTCGATACATTACAAGCACAGTCCCTTGATAGCTGCTCCATCTTGCACTTTATGCAAGACAGGAACTGGGGGACAAAATGTAAAGCAGCTTTAGAAAAATAAGGGGAAAAACTTGACCTTTGCATATTTTTTTTATTTTACCGATCCAGAATACTACCTGACTTATAAGAATCCAGAATATCATCCATCTCTCGGCCTCGTGGCAATGATCCTTTTGAGGGGATAGCCAAATCTTGTGGATGTAACAGCTCACTGATGCTTCAGGATCAGAAGAGAGACCCTTTCTCCTTGCTAACGTAAGAGGAAACCTCTCCTAATAACTATGAAGTTGTCCCTACGTAGTTCTACACTGCTCAGAAATTTCATTTCTGGACAGTGTAGAACCGTCAGGCAAAACAAGAAGCAACAGGTGGAAACTAATCAAGGAGAGAAGCAACTTGGAACTAAGGAGAAATTTCCTGAGTGAGAATGATCAGTGGACCAACTGGCCTCCAGAAGTTGTAAATGCTCCGACACTGGAGGTTTTCAAGAAGAGATTGGACAACCCTTGGTCTGAAGTGGTGTAGGGTTTCCTGCCTAGGCAGGGGGTTGGACTAGAAGACCTCCAAGGTCCCTTCCAACTCTGTTATTCTACTCTACTCGGTTCTTCCCTTGCCTCATTATTTTTGCTTCCCAGTTATAACGATATTTAGGAGCCTTTGACTCAGTATTCGCTTTGTAAGCGCTATGGAAACAGAGCTCCGGGGAGAAGAGCAGTTGGGTGATTACCGAAGAACAACCCTAAGGGGAAAATTGGAGCGCGTACTTGTTTTCTTCGTTTGGTAAACAACGTCTTACAGCGACTGACCTGATGCAGAGCACCCCCTTCATTATATTTTCTCACATGTTGGGTTCTTTTTTTAAAAAAAAAGGTAACAAAGCAATTAACACGGAGGTGCCAGAAAAAGTACCAGAAGTCACTTATTTTAAATCGATCTCCAAGGCAACCAGCCCCCAAAATAGTGAGCTTCCAGAATGCTGGGGATTGGAGGTGGGGAGGACAAATGAGACCTACGCAGAGCGTTCTTGGGAGTTTCTGGCTGGCTTGTCGTCTCACAGCCAAAAGCCCGGGAGAAGCGGAATTAGGCTCACCTTATATATCAAAGCTGAAAGAGAAGGATCCCTGCCAACCCCTCGCCCACCGGGGATCTTCGACAGTGGGTGAGGGGCATCAGGAGCACCACAGAGGCCCTGGAACAATGTGCCTGCAGCACGGTACTTGCGGGCAGTTACTCAAAGGTAAGATACTCCTGGAAGAGAAAGAGAGCACAAAGGTGAGAGCCGCAAACCCCAGCAAGATTCAAACGGAACTCAGGAGCGCGAACGTCCTTGTGGGTTAGCCATGGTATCAAGCTCAAGACAGCCTTGCAGGAGATCATCTGGGCAGTTCGATGTTTCTACTGATCATAAGGGTGTGATTCCACCATTACACTTCTTTTAAACAAATAGCAGGAGCAACAAGGGGTTTCCAAAAAGCGGGGCCTGGTTATGTATTTCTCAGAAGCAAGCTAAGCTGTTGCCATGTTCAACCTTGCAATATCTTCTTTCTTAATACTTAGGCAATGTGCCACCCGCGTTATCTGATCTGCTAAGCGAAGGGTGTTCCCTGCTTTGCGTCCTTACACTGCCCTGTTTCTCAACCTTATGGCCACCTTTAAGATGGGTGGGCTTCAATTCTCAGAATTCCCCTGGGAATTCTGGGAGTTGAAGTCCACCCACCTTAAAAGTGGCCAAGGTTGAGGAAATAACTGCTCTACTGCATTCATCTCATGCTTTTGATTCTCGTATTTTAATTACAGCCTTGTATTGGTTTAAGGTGAAATCTCAATCTGGCAAAGATACAATAGGTATTAACAGTGTCCCTCCCATGCCACACCCTGTCTCAATCTATTAAACACCATATTACACCTACACAGGTGCAGCTGGCTGCAATGTCCTTTGTGCTGCTGGCGAGACACACACGTCCGATTGGCTCTACTAATGTTTTGTAGGAACACACACGCACAAATTCTCATTTCTCCCAACAGGCCACGAGGCTGGCTTAGCTAGATGCACAATATTACTTATTTCCTATCTGGGTTTTGTGTGTTGTTGTTCCTTTCGCTCAGAACTAGGAATGTCTTTGAAGACATTCTAAAAAGACACCTGCAAACTCATGCCGTATTTTCTGAAAAATAGACAAAAAGTAGACAAAACAAGCAGAATCTCGGATGAAAAAAGGGTATCATTTTACGGTCTCTTTCTGTTGTCCTTTTGCAGTCTTTCTCACAGCTTCCAAAACCAGTTCAAGCATGTGTTGATGCCAGTTGCACATACAGATAGTCCTTGAATTACAACAGTTCATTTAGTGACTGTTGAATAGAATAAGAATAGAATAAGAATTAGAATAGAATAGAATATAGAATGGACTGGAATAGAGAATGGACTGGAATGGAATAGAGAATAGAAAATAGAACTGAATAGAATATGGAATGGAATCAAATACAGAATAGAATATAGAATAGAAAGTAGAATAGAATAAAATGGAGAATAGAATTAGAATTAGAGTAGAGTAGAGTAGAATTCTTTATTGGCCAAGTGTGATTGGACAAACAAGGAATTTGTCTTTGGTGCATATGCTCTCAAGCTACAACTGCTGAAAAACGTGACATGACTGTTTTTTCACAGTTACGACCTTTGCAACATCCCCATGATCATGTGATCATCTTTTGCGACCTTCTGACAAGGCAATGGAGAAGCCAGATTCACTTAACAACCAGATGACTAACTTATCAACTGCGGTGATTCCCTTAACTGTGATAAGAAAGTTTGTAAAATGGGCCAGAACTCACTTAGCAAATGTCTCGCTTAACCACAGAAATTTTGGGGGCCCAATTTTGGTCGTAAGTCACGGATTACCTCTATGGGACACATCTGGATCGAGCACCCCACTTGGCAATCCTGATTTTCAAAACCGAGCTGGCCTGTTCTTGTACCTTTCATGGAACACAATTAAAACAGGCGGCGGCAGCCAACCGAGCGCTAAATTGGAAGGCGAGCAGCTTGTCCGCAACAATGACAAAAAAATAAATAAAAATAAAAACATTTCTTTTTAATCCCAAATTCACTCTGCCCACATACAAAGCAGCTGCAACCGAGGCTCCTGGCAAAGGAGCTTGCACACAACCAACTCGGCCTGTCTTCATCATCCACAATCACTGCGATAATTGACTGGAAAAACAGCTCTTCTGTCAGGCTGGTGTCTGGCGGAGACTGGGAAAGGATAATGCTAGGCTGTGTTTTTTGTCCACCCCTCCCCACCGTAGCCTCCAATACAGCTGGCAGATGTGCTTGTTTTCTCCGCTCAACAATACAGCGTTATGGTTGCTCGGAGGAACCAGCAACTACTAGCAGGAAGCAGTTCATTCGTCCAGACGAAAGCCCTAAAGCGAGGGGAGAGGTCCACCCTTGGCAACTTTAAGACTTGTGGACTTCAACTCCCAGAATTCCCCCTTGCCAGTCTTAAAGTCGCCGCAGTTGGATGGACATTCCTGATCTGAAGACTAACTAATTCCAGCATAACTCAGTTGACTAGGACAAAAACCCCTCGAGATGTATCCGGTTCCTCTCTACAACAACACTAGTAGTTTTACTAGTCAATTCCACTGATTGTCTGTGAATGTCGCAGGATTTGTCCTAATACAGGCTACATCCAGAAACGTTTTAAACAGCCTGACAACATAAATTTGTGTATTCCATCAGTGGTGATGGTAATCAAAATGAAAAAGTCTTGCACACTTGCACATAATATTGGCAAGTGTGCAAGACTTCTTCATTGTGGTTACAATCACCACTGATGAATATACAAGAACGTGAACCAATTTGCAAGGGGATGTGTGTGGTGTGTGTGTGTGTGTGTTTGTGAAAAATAGTTAAGCTCCACTCCATAGTAATACCATAAAGTGCTATTAGGATAGAGTATGGATATGTTTCAGTCTGCTAAGAAAGAAAAGATAAGGTAACATCTTGCAAAGGTTTCAGAAACACAGGGCAGTATTTAACAGAATACTTTACTGATTATAGGATAGTGAGTCAAGAAGGGAGAATTAAACCCATGTGCTTTTGAGAGCATTACAAACATTCAGCCTTTCTGCCGTTTATTCGTTCAGGGATTGCAAAGGTGGTGCCACCAAGGTATAAACAGGAAGAAAGTGAGACCATTAAGCCCACTAGCCAGCCTCGGTGGTCTCGAAGAACACAAGGATGGTATTAATTGTACAACTGAGATTAGATCCTTAACTCTTAAAATGTGTCCTGGATTAGCACAGTGTATGAAACAAGATTGATCTGCAAGGTTTAGAGAAATGATAGTGATATCAGTTTGATTTTGACCCTTACCACTGTTGACTCTTGCTTTGCATAATAATATTTTTTTTAAAAGAAGTAACACTGTATTTATATATAATGAAGGGATTTCCTTTCTAAATCTATTATGAACGGTAAATTCCCAACCAGCAGGATTTCATGTAGTGGTTTTAAGGCATCAGGCTTCTTAGAAACCGGGTGGCCAGGAATTCTAGTTCTGCCTTGGGCACAAAGCCAGCTGGGTGACCTTCGGCTGGTTGCTCTTTCTCAGCCCTAGGAAGTAAGAGGCAAGGGCAAGCCACTTCTGAAAAACCTTGCCAAGAAAATTGCAGGGATTTGTCCAAGCGGTCACTAGGAATCAACACTGACTTGAAAACGCCAAAAAACAAAAACGGGAATAATTTGTTGGGTGTAAATTCTGGATACTTTCGTCCCAATTACAGAAGGTACCAAAATGAGAAAAGAGGCGTAAAAATTCTGAATTATCAACACACTATCTAACAAAGCATCATACTGGCTGGCCTATATTTTTCCTGTTTTGAACCGAGAACAAAGGTGCAGTCTTTTGAAAATCAAGTGTATGAATTATAAACATTTCCTGGCAGACACATGCCCAGCGTGGGAAACAGACTGATAAATACAAAGGATTGTGTATAACTCACTAAACAGAATGGACGTTAAACTCCCAAGGCCAAACTTCCTCTACAGCTTCATCTCCTTAAGCGCTGTATTTTCAAGTGAAGGAAACCCCCCAAGATAGAAAGCCAAGCATTTTGCAGATAGGGATAAAAGAAATCTGGTTATTAACTAGATACTCCAAAGAAAAGGGAGCTAGGTTACAAGGAAAACACATTTTATAGTTGCTACGCCAAACCTGATTTTTTTTCAGCCAGGGTATTAGTAGAAACAGATCTAAAATTACTTTGAAGAGGGAAGAACAAGTAAGTAAGTTTATGTGGAGTTTATAAACTCTATAGTTAAAAAGAATTGTTCGTTCCCACCCCTATCGCTGACCTGATTGCCAGGCCGCTGGAGAGATGGAATTACTTCACCCATTTACGTAACACCAAAAGTCTTAAATAGATTAAAAAAAAAATCCTCCCTGGGTAGGCAGCACCCAGATTTAACAATTAACCACAGCCTCATATTCTGCTGACCTGTGTTACATTTCAGATAAATTTAGGATCAGACCATAGAGGGGTTTGGACTTTTATTTTTAAAGTTCGCCAATTACTCATGGCCTCAATAAAATGAAGAAATCCTTCCTTGCAGTAACTGTAAATAAACAGCCTTCCTGTTTTGCAAACCATTTCAATTGCACAGTGCTTGCCAATTAAAGTGAAAGCCTAACTTGCAAACATTTACAGTTAAGATAAAACTTTCACCACCACCCCTTTCCTAAAGATATTGACATTTTGTTTTGAAAGGAAGGGGAGCTGCATTTCTCTGAAAAGCTGTTGCTGAAGGCCCTTGAGTGAGTCTGATCCTTTTCTCAACTTCAAGACACTCCTTCCATAAACTGTGAAAATAGCATTTATCACTTCAAATTCTTCAACTGCCGCAGACAGAATTCTGCCTTCATTCAGTAATATTAGGAAATACATTGTGCTTTACACAGACGCAACTTTCCCTCTGCTCCCAAAACTGTCTTTTAGATAAACACTTCTAGGAATCCTACAGGATGCAAGGAAAAATATATACAACACCTTCCAAAAATAATTACTGGCTTCTGTCCAATGCAAAACTACTATATAATAAAACCCCACAAAGTACGCTGGAAGGAGGTTAATCACCACAACACAAAATTGTGTATGCTTCCTGGAATCCAAACTACTTATGCAAACCTGGTTCTTTCAATTGCAAATTTTGCAAGAGTGCACAGGGAATAAAGCGTTGTAGGTGTATTTGATCTTTTTCTCCATCCAGGTGACAACTATTTGTCCCCAATATTCC